AAGAAAAACGATCTTGCTTTAGGAATGGTATATCGTATATTATATCAATGTTACTGAAGACTTTACTGAATTTTACTGAATTTTCAGGGATCCTGATCTGACCCTATAATGAACTGGTTTTGGCATACAGTTAAGAACATATAAATAAGGCAGTTTGCAAAGTAAAGAGCTGCAAAGCAGTGCCTGCCAAAGCAAGTCCTCTTTGGCTTCAGACCCTCTCTCGCCAAGAGGACTGTATATCCAAGTACTTCATTCCAGTCCTGTAACTCTGGTCACTCCTACACAGAGCCTTGTCCCTGAAACAAATGCACCAGTTGGCATGCTTGCCTCTAAATAGTTTATGTCACAACTCTTTTACCCAGTGGGAATGCAACTGTCCCACTGCTCAAAACACAGTGAAAGGATAGAATTTGTATTTCTGTGCCTCATCTAGCAGAACAGCTTTTGATCCAAGAGCTTCTGTAGCACAAATGGTGGAAATTTTCTAAGCTGATGTTTTACATTTTGTTCTATTATTTTCTGTGAATTTTCCATGAAGAAACGAAAAGTTGAAGAGGGAAAGTGTAAGATAATGATGGCCTCCTAATACAACTTCTTGATTTATATCTAAAACCTGTCAGGCAGGCATTTTGCTGCAATCTCACTCAGAGATGTAGAGATGTAAGAAAATAACCAGGACTTTAAACCTGAGGACAATTGAAGACAAAACCAAAGGTATCTCAAAACAGTTATTTTAAGTGGCTGAGAAGACATTTATACCAGTAACCCTGACAGAGACTGACTATAATAATGAGAAGATTACTTTCTTCTTTTTGCTTTATGCTTCTCAACAGGGCAGCTCTCAGTGAGCAATTACAATTAAAGAACTGTGCTTTTGTGGCCCTGGTCAGCTGCTTCTAGGATCTCCACTTCATACTTACATACGTGTACAGACTAGGACAAGACCTCACTGAGAGCAGCCCTGCTGAGAAGAACTCGCAGGTTTTGGTAGACAAAAAGCTGGACATGAGCCAGCAGCACATGCTTGCAACCCAGAAGGGCTGCATCAAGAGGAGTGGCCAGTAGGAAGAGGGAAGGGACTGTTCTCTCCTACTGTGCCCTTGTGAAACCCTGTCTGGAGTACTGTGCCCAAGTCTGGGGCCCCCAGCACAAGGAAGATGTGGAGCTGTTAGAGCAGGTTCAGTGGAGGGCCACAACCAGATCAGAGGGCTGGAGCACCTATCCTACAAAGGAAGGCTGAAGGAGATGGAGCTGGGCTTGCTCAGCCAGGGGAAGTCTCTGGGGAGACACCATTGTGACCTTCCAGTACTTGAAGGGAGCTTATGATCAGGAGGGAGATCAGCTTTTTACATGGGCAGATAGTGATAGGACAAGGGGGAATGATTTTAAACTAAACGAGGTTAGATGTTAGTTGGATACTTTTTACTCAGAGGGCAGTGAGGCGCTGGAATAGGTTGCCCAGAACGGTTGTGGATGCTCCATCCTGGAGGTGTTTGAGGCCAGTTTGGATGGGACTCTGGGCAGGCTGATTCACTGGGTGGCAACACTGCCCATGGCAGGGGGGTTTGAACTGGATGGTGTTTATTTATGGTCCCTTCCAGTCTGAGCCATTCTATGCTATGATATAACAATATTTCTTCCCAGTGGCAAGTGGGCCCCATTTATATAATGAGTAGGGCAGGGTGCTCTGGTTTGACTTTTGCTGTAGGATTGTTGGTCTTCAGCTATGTCTTACAGGTGTACTTGATGCATATATAACAGCATTATTTTCAGTCTCTGGATGGCTGTGGTACCTGGTTCATTACCTTGCTGTGCCTGGGGCTGTTGATGGATTTTGTTACCTGCGCCTTGTACTGCCCGCTCTGTTCAGATTCTATAGAAAAATGTCCAGGTTAGTGGGACTGATCTGCATTGGAATCACCCTGCAATCCTGGTTTGGCTTTTTACTTATGGGCCAGCCCTGCTTTTGCTGCTCCCTGATACTTGGAAAGTGGGAAAACATATGGACTAGGGCTGGAATGAAAGTGCTGAGGGCAAACATCAGTACTATTCTTAAAAGTTAAGGTTAGATTCTTCTGGAATTTTATTAACAGAGAAAACTGTAGTCGTTCTCTGAAAATTTCTAGAAATGGGCTATCCAATATTTTCTTCATTAAAATATTTTAATCTTTAGTTGGTCTAAGTGAGGAAAGAAACTGGTACTTCTCAGATGGTACATGCTGCATGACGTTTTGTTACAATAGGATATATGCTTCCCACAAACTCCTGTCTGCCAATGGAACCAACAGGATTACAGAAGTAGGATTTGATCCTCTACTTCAGAACAGGCTGTTTAGAGAAACAGATTACTGGCTGCTAAGATAATCTTCTGGAAGAACCTACTTACTTTCAGCCTGAAGAGGGATGGAAACTACTCTCAGTTTGTTGAGAGAGCAATCTATAGCCAGAGCTTTCGAATGCCTTGCATGCTTCACCAGAGTGTATAATGTTCTGATTTAGTACTCATTTACAAAGTATCAAGTTTTCATGACTGGCAAGCATCACCTCGGAGAAATCAGATAAGGAATCTGTATGTACTGCTATACCTAGGCCAGATTAAGTTAAAGCTTTTGAAAGTTTCAGCACTCACTGAATGGATTAACCCAGCTCCTTATGGCTGGATTCTAATTAGAATCACTGTATTTTTCTGCAGGGTAGCATAGCATATCTGGCACGCTTACTAACGTTTCCATGCTGATTTCACAGCTTTAACTGTCAACTTACTTTCGTTCTGAAGAAATGGAATGGCTGTTTGTTAAAACAAAATCTGGGAAGGAGAAAAAAAAAAGTTAGAAATGTTGGAATTCTGAGCTTTCCTGGAGCATGAGAAAACAGTGGAGTATGTATCCCACTTCATAAGGATGACTGTCCAGTAAAATGTCTTTTTGGATCAAAGTTTTCCTCTTCTCTGATTTAGAAAAAATCTGTACCTTTGCCAGCACATTTTGCAGCATGTCTTGAGCTGTTTTGTAGACGTTTGCAGCAATTCTTGCTATTTTTGAGCTGTTTTGCAGTTCAGTTGCCTGTTTCTCAGGACATCAAGGTGAGAGTACATCGTGAGGAGCTGAGTATTAATGCGGATAACAGTGTCAAATCAGTCTCTTCGGCAGCTTCTTGTTTTAAGAGGCTTGTGAAGAGGTCTGTGTATGCACTCATCCACAATGCTTTAAAATCTTTAAAAATCCATATCAGAAAACCCCAGTGAGAAATGCTCTACTTACCTAAAAATTGTAAGTCATAGGAAATAGTGTGCAAAATCATCCTGAATCTGTGGAGTTGAAAGGAAAAAGAGAGCTAACATTAAGTGAATTTATAGAATTTCCCTTAGCTTCCTGTTTGTTGTTTCTGAAACCTGACTCCTCTTTCTCATCTAACTAAGCCTCAGGGACTAAAGTCATACTAAATATAAAAATTGCTGGTCTTGGTTAGACATATTTCTAGCAGCCAAGGCTTCTGTACAACACTGAACAGCAACAAATTCTTAGGGAAAGAGTACAAGCTCAGACTGTGTATACAATCTTCTCAGTCTTGGAAACATCTGGTGCTAGTACTTCAAAACATTTCTGGAAAAGAAGCTTTTTTTTTTTTTTTTAAATTTAATGATCAGTAATGGACTTCTGTGTGTTTATCTCCTCCTCAAACATGTTCATAGCTCCTAGATCCTTTAGCAGTAGCTTCCAAAATTTGGTCATGTTTCATGTTGCAAAAATTGTTTATTTATTTAAGACCTGTGGCTTCATAATCACTGGGTTGCCTCTTAGTGTTGTAAGAAGCAGAGAACACTAGTTTGCTTCCCTGTCCTTTTCATGATTCCTTACACTGTTCGTCCACTGGCAGCACTGGAATGTGGGCTATTGATTTATGAAGGGAAAACAAATGCCTACTGTTGATGCAAATTCTGCTCACATCTACCTCTCTCTTAGCTACTTGGCATTGTGGTACACTAATGACAGCTTGGGGCAGGTGTGATTTCCTTTTCTGTGATAAACCAGTTGTGCTCTTATCCTGTGAAAATGTGATGACAGATCAGGAATGATTCCAGTTAGACAGCCCATGTGTATTCAGCACTTGATGTGTTGGTGGTTGCTGTGCTCAGTCAATTAACAGTTTGTCAACAGTGGATTATACGATACCAAAATTAAGATAGCACCTCCTGCTAAGTAGATTTTGCTTCTCTTAGGATATTGGCACCTTGGTAATAACATTCAGATTCCAGGCTGAGCTTAGTTTCCTTGCCGGTTCTGCTGCCGTCTCTTGCTGCTCAGAGCTGCAGTGTTAAGAGCAACTTTGTTCTACTTTCTGAGACTTTGAAGGTTTTATCAATTTTTGTCATGATGCCAGGGAAGTAACTGCCCCTGAAATTTCTCAGCAGCAAGTCAACTCTTCTGTTGCTCTAAGACAGGATGGAAAAATATTCTGTTTCACAAAGGGTGAAATGGCTATTTTGATCTTTACTAAACTTTCTTGTGTGGTGTGGGTTTATACATGAGTGGTGTATGTGCTTTCTCTTTAGCAAAGCTGTAGTTCTGAGTACTACTTCCCCTAGGTGTCATCTCCACCATGGTTTACTCAGATGTTCAGCTATCTTTCAAGATGCACTTGAGACATGTCTATATCAGCAAGAAGAATGATTGGCTCAGTCATGAATGCCTGTTCACAAATCTGTTTCAAAATATCCATATTGCTAGAGACTCTTTAATTTTCCCTTAATTTCTGTGTTGTGCATGTTTGTATTTTTTGCCACTTTATATTCTGGTGTGGCCAAACCGTTCTAGCATATTTCATTTATCTGTAGCATTTTAAAGTGTATAGTTACCAAATCAATTATTTCTAAGGTATAGGTACTAGACAACCAATGATGCATTTCCTGAGCTTATAATAAGAGACATACGGAGGTATAAAGCGCTTTGAGAATAAACAATCACAAACTCCTGAAAGTTCAATTTTTTTGCTTACTGCAGGCCTGGAAGGCTGCTTGTGAAGACCCCCTGCATCCCAGTGTATTTCAGTGTGATGTTAAGGGTGGAGGCAACATGCTGAACTGTGTCACTTCTGAGCAGCACTGCAACCCATAGAATAGTTTTGGATTTCAGCAAGCTCTCAAGGGTAAGTTGCCCAGAATACCTTTTCATGCCCATTGTTCTACCTCTGCACATACACACATCTGCAAGGCTGAAGGTTATAGGGGACAGTGCCATGTTAGTCTTACATTGCAGTTAGACTTTATTAACCTCAACTATAAAAATGGATGTAAGAAATCCTGGTTAAAATTAAATAGTGTATAAATAACTTGCTATTTTCTTGGGACGTGATCACATTCTTAACGGCTGATACTCCACTGTATGTTTAGAAAAGTCTTCTGCTACCTCTACAGAAGAAATGAAGTTGTTTCGCCTTGTGTCTTTGTTCACATCATAAACTACTCTCCCAATTAAAAGTAAAGCTAATAACACACTAAACAAATTATCTGCTTGCATCTTTAGCAACATTTTCTCTTATTTTAAAAACAAGAAAGATAAATTAAATATGGCAAAATGGGCTGTCTAGATCTAGCGACTCTCAGCTTCTTACATCCTATTTTTTCTGTCCTGGAGAAAATACAACTGAACGTAAAGATAGGAGATAAAATTACTTCTTGGAGGCCTTGGTATTAAGCAGTCCATGTTGCCTGAGATCTAGCGGAACACTCATGTGCTTTCTCAACTTTTTAATGGGAAACAATACCTGTCATTATGCCACATGAAAAATGAGTCTTCTTTCTGGAATCATCTAGTTAATTACCAGGCAGAAGTTCACATTTCCTTGTAAAATGAATTTAGATTTTGCTGATAACTTTATTAAGAGCAGTTTCATAGTGTTATCTTTCATTTGCTTGTCAAAACATTGCTTCTCAGTGCATTACTCCATTACAATAAGTTGAGGAAAAAGAAAAAAAAGGCAAATAAAAGCAACTTTAAAACTGTGCAAGCCATTGTAAAAGATTGAGACCTGGATTATCATTCATTCTTATAAGGACTGAAAACGCCCCTTCACTCTTCACCACCAGCTTCTTGCACAACGTGCATGGAAGAATTGTATGAAGTGAATCTATTTCTTTCCCCTTGCCAGAAGCAGAAAAGCATCAGAAATACACAGACCTTCAACTTCCACTCTTGTTCTCTGTCCTAAGAGTGCGCGAACAACCAGGAAGCTCTTATGGGTTGTATAATCAATGGATATCAAGATGTTACAGTCACAAAATAAACAAGAGAGTTAGGCAAAGTGAACTATGATAACAAAAGAGAATAAATGGAAGGCTTACCCTTATGCTGGGCTCATTCACAAAACACCAGAAGGAGAGATCTCCAGACAAGATCCTTCCCCACTGGCAGCCAGCTCTTAAATAGGTCTAGGAGGGCTGAAGCCAGGCTCCACCCCTTCCAGCAGCACGGGTGAATTGCCTTCACCTGTGCTCCTGTGGCTGACACATTGCTCACCTCAGGTGATCAATCAGAGGTTCAGGCCGTGACTCAGCAGTTCCCGTACACGGGTGAACAGTTTTTGAAAAACTCACTGAATATTGAGCGTGTTGTATCCTGCATCTTATTAAAAGGCAATGGAAATTAGGCCCTTTGCCAGATCTAAAAAAGCTGAGCATTAGAAATGTTTTCGTGTGAGAACTTGAATTCTTCTTTTTGCCATGTCTTTGGAAATCACATTTGACTATTTAATGTTACTCAAGGACAAAAAGGGCAAGAAGAGCCAAAATACTACTGAGGACTGCAGTGGGGCAGGCATGCTCAACCCATAGCCCAAGGGCCATATGCTGCCTGGCATAGCTTGCACTGTGGCAGCCCCCTGCCCGGTACCATCATGCAGTGGCTCTGACTCGCAGAGTGGCCCAGCCTGGTAGCCAAGCAGCGATGTGCTATGAACCCTATCTGAGCTGAAACCAGGGCACTGGGAGGGCACTTTGAATACTAACTCAAGTTATGGCAAATAATTTCAGGCATTTTGTTATATTGCCTGAACAAATCCTATGAACAGCAAAAAATATGCAGCTGTGATTTCCATTTTGATGAAGGAATTTGGGAACTGATTTCAAGATTGCAAAAAAATCATCAATTTTTCAGTTTATTTGTGACTTCATTTTTAGTCAGAATAAATACATTACCTGTGAAATTTCAAATTGAATGTACAGAGTTGCAATCAAAAATTTGACCATGTCTTTTTACCAGATCTAAGTCCTGTCTAGCCAGAGACAAATATCCCTCACTTTGCAGTTGCACCTTATTCATGTCATTGCTTCATGGCAGTATGTACATTTGTGAACAGCTATCTTAAAGGAAAAAGCACAGGAAGAGCAAAATCTCATAAAAAATCTCAGTGGAACACCTGAGACCTCAGCAAGAGTTGCAGCCACTGACACTGAACCTGACTGATGCGTTAGTGTTGCAAAAATAGTTAAAAATCCCATTGGTTTTGTGTTTTTGTTGCTCTTTTAAAATTTGTTTTAATAAAAAATATTAAAAAGTAGGTTTTGTTACTTAAATACATTAACTATCTTGTATATTTTATGAGGGCCTCTCCAAAATCTCTTATTTTATTTTGTTGGTCCACAATGTTAGAAGCAGATTTTGAGGGATGTTTGAAGGATGACAGTGGAGGATAAACCTTCCTACCAGTATTCCATTCCATTTTGTTCCTGTGTGACAGATGGCAGCAGAGGGGCAGTCTGACACAATGGCATCTGGCATGGAAGGGTGTATAGAGCAAAGGTGTGGAATTGAGTTCTTCCATCTGGAAAAAATGGCACTCACATTCATCAAAGCTTGCTGAACATTTATGAACACCAAACAGAGGATGTGAGCACAGTGATGCAGTGGGTTATGTATTGCAACAGTGGCAACAGTGATGGCAGTCACCTCTGCTAGTGCAGTTTGTTCAGAGGGCAGCCTGCAGGCTCTTGTCCATCTGGTGAAAATGCATACCTAATGGTGGTGACTGTTGAAAAATAATGCTTTGTAGCTGAGAAATTGCTCTATTAAATGTGCTATTGTGCTCTTTGCATTGATTGAAGTCTCCATGGAAATAATTAGGAAGAATTACTTTCAGAGCAACCTTTGTAGCTGCAGCCCTAGACAGCTCCGCTTCATCCAGCATGGCCTAGGCAAGCCAAAAGGTTGGATGCTCGTGCAGTAGGATCTGAGTGGAAAAACATCTGCAGACTACTTGTGAGGCATGTTCCAGGTGTAAAATAAATGTTACTGAAAATATCTGAACATCACTATGTAATTGAGTCAGATTTGAGTGACAGATCATACAATAGAACCTATTTTAAAACAATAGAACATATTCTAAAAAAAAAGAGAACTGAAACTGATAAATTTAACCCATTTAATCCACTGTGAGATGTGTTGAACAGTCTCTTACTTTGAGCCTGCATCGCCTCAAGTGTGGAAGGGACAAGCCCCTGTTGGTATGAGAAGAATGGGTTCAAGACCCTTTTTTGCCACTCAGTACAATTTGCCCCTCCTCTAGGTGTATCTGTAGCTGTATCTGTAGCTGCAAATGGTCTGAGGATCACAGATTGAAAGCTTTTTGTAAAAATGCATAGTGGAAAAATGATACACTCCAGAAGGTTTCACTGCCATTGTATTTAAATATAATATTCATTTCAGAGTTAGTTTAGTTAACTAGCAATGATGAAGTCACTAAGCATTTTCAAAGTAGATGGCCAATATATTCTTTAAGCAAGTAGTGTGATCATCTGTGGGCAGCATCCTAATTTAATTCTGATCAATCTCAAAATACCTTAATGAGACATTCACTGGAAAAGCCTCAGTACAGAGTGACTACATTTAAATCCTAAGAAACCTATGTATTGTTTTTCATTAGCATACAAATGCCTGAAGTATCCAGAAATGCATCAATTTCCTGTAAAAACTGCACACTTTTTGTAAAACTGCATTTGCTCAATAACAACATGCTCAGCCCTTTATTTTCTGAAAAATACCAAAGAATGCTTAGTAAGGATTTCCTGCTGCTTCTCTCCTGGAAAGGGATAGCACAGTTCATTCCCTTTCATTCCATGCTATCTGATTTCCATTGTTATTAAATGAAGACGAACAGTCACAAGTTTTCTTAGTTTATGTTCTTGCACGAGCAGTGTGGGACTGGTAGTCAAAGCAAATTGACTGTAGGAAAAGTATTTGCTCTACTAAAACGCTATATGCAGATGTAATGAGAGGCATGCTGAAAATGCTAATCTTTTCCTTTTGATCTGTTTCCTTACAGATTCACTGTTATCAGTTCTACTCATTTTGCTGATGTGCACAAGTTCCTGTATGACACATTTGAGAGGTACTTAGAAATGAACAAGGGGCGGAAAGGGGAGGGGTATTGCCTTTGAATATTTGAAGAGAAATGAAAGTCAGTAATGAAAATCTGTCCTGGGCTTTCCTGCAGAAACAATAGTTGCTTAATAGATTACATGTTCTTTGGAGATACTGTTCTAACTTTTATTAATTTCTGTGCTCGAAGTATTTATCCCATACAAATGGGAATACCGAGGTACTAACCATTGTCAAACTGAGGTGAATAAATACTCTGGCAAGGTTCAACAGCATGGGCTGGCTGCTCTGCAAGAAAAGAAGCCAGGAGTTTAGCGTGAGAGCAATGCAGGCAGGAGGGGTGACCATGAGAACTTAGGATCAGAGACCAGTGATCATCAGCAGGGATGAGCCAAATCTGAGGCTGAGCCGAGAAACCCAGGCAGTGCCCAAGTCACAGAGATGTGAGCCTGGCTGCAGATGTGCAACTGTGTTAGCATAGAGGCAGGAGCTGGCAGCAAAGCCTCAGTTTAAAATCAATTACCAGGAAAAGGAGGGGCTTTCTTTGCAGGAGCTCTTATCAGTTAAAGAACTGACCTTGGATTCAGCTAGCTAAACTACTCAGTCCCCCCCCATAACAACCTTAGATGGGGAATGCAACTCTGGGCTCTAACAATCAGATTTTCTGTAGCTGAATCAAGTATATGAACCATGAAACTGTTTCACGCACTTTGCCACAAGCCCCAAATATAGATAATCAAAATAGAATCAGATTAACACACTTAGCATTTTGCTTACTGCCTTCTGCCTCAACTGCAAGATACTGAAAATAGTTTCAGTTTTCTTTGAAGTGTGCTCGAGATCCAGTTCAGAGCTGATTGAAACCAGTGGAAATGATGAATTTCCATCAGACTCCTAAACTTTGGATGAATACTGTAGGCAAGATGACATTGAAAGTTCAGAACAGTATTTTTTTAAATGAAAGATATTCTGTCTTCTTTTATTCCTGCTTTTGTTTATATGACTACACACACACAAAAAGATTCTGGTTAATATGAAATTGTGTGGAGCTTGTGTGAGCAAGTTTCTTAATGTTTTTTGTTGTTGTAGAGATGATTAATTTTTTTAAAGTTTAAAAAATACCTTCATAGAAAATGTGAAAGCCAATATAGTGATTTAAATCAGTGCTTTGGACAATAAACAAACTAGGATTATCTTCACAAGTGAGGTTGAGGTTTGGTAGAAGCATTTAATCCCTAAATGATATACTTCAACTGTGAATTGTCATCAAAGTGCTTCAAAATCACTTCTCTCTGGTCCTTCACGTGCTTGAATCTGAGTGGTTATTTCCTCTTGTGTATTCATTTTAATCTACTATTTACCATGTTTCAGGCATCCACTGTTTTTTCAGAAACTGACATTTCTGTCAAAAAAGTCTATGAAAGATTTTAAAGGTCTGGCTTTCCCTTGAAAAATTAACTTTCTGATAAGTTTTCTGCTAGCTCATGAGTCATAGCAGATCTATTCCTTCTGAACAGTAAGACTATTTAATGCTGTATGTGTTTATGATATAATGTGGAATTTTTAACTCCTTAAGCCGCTACAGCTGCAGTTCCAGTGCAGAAATATCTTACCTAGGGATAGGAGAGCTACACCTAACACCTTCCAATGTCTCTTATGCCTCACACAGGTTGTTTTTTCAGGTACACAGAATTAGATCTAAACGTATAGAAAGCTCATGTTGAAAGTACTGGGGACAAGGCTGTATGTGCATGTTAAAAGCAAAAGAAGGGCCACTGCACCATGTCTTCTAGTGGGGGAAACTCCACAAGTGAAACCGATTGCTATTGTTACGCATGTTGCAACTCCAAAGGACAATGAGTGGTTCTGTCAGGCCAAAGAAAAGAGGGCATTAGAACTGGAAGCAAGCCGGCAGAATGGTGGATAGTGGATTAGTCAGTACATGAAAACTTTATTTGGCATTCCTGCAGTCTTCAGTTTCAAAGAAGAACTGCACTGTTCCCCTGAGAGATTAAGATGCCAAGGAATGTATGTGATGCTCTTTAGTTCTGAACAATTTCATCATGTGCCCATCCAGCCTGTTTTGTTGTTATTTTTTAAATTCAGTAGTAACAAGAGCAGGGTAGCTAATGTATAGTTACTGCTCTTCTCCAGGGAAAGAGGAAAACAGAAATGGTATTCTGGTTTCCTGCTCCTCAGTAGCTATTGGTCTCCCCAGATCCCTTTTGCAACACACTGCAGCCCTTGGTTCTCTCACTTATGTTAGTCAGGAATTATCTGCTGCTTCATAAGCAATAAAAATGAAATTTTCTGTAATATCATTGATGGCAAATTATTTTAGCTGCTAAATACAAACAATTTTATAATTAATTCAGATTAATATTGGAGGTTAATTGTCAGCCAGAGGTCTTGACATTTACTTTAAAACAGTTTTACTGTTTATGTTGTCTTTGAATTAAGTTGAGCAGTCCGACCTAGGGGGGTTTGAAGCGCAGCTGTGAATAGCATTGGCATTTGAGCATGAATATCCAAATACTTGTGATACCTGAAAAGTCCCTTTGTTGTAAGTGGGACTTTTACCAGCAACATTACAGCTGAATTAGATTGCTATTAGAATATCTAAACTATATTTAGGTTATTGCTGAACTAATGCACAAAAATAAAATTTGAAAGTTCAGTAATGAACATCAAACCTAAGGTCCTTATACCTGATTAGGGCTTAAAATAAAACACTGTTGATGATCAAAAACTGAGTGACAAATATGTATGGATTCAAGTAGAGGAAAATAGAACGGGCCTTTTTCCACAGCACTGGAACAAAAGACAGACTCAACATTAGCTCTTGTGGTTATAGAGATCAGCTGTCTTTACCTGTAAAGTCACAGTCATCAGGGCAAAGTTGTATAGTGTTGTAACATTACTTATTCTCCTTATATTCAGCTTTACTCAAAGTTGTATGAGTTTGGAAAACAACTTGGAACCTGTTGTAAAGAACATTGGCAAGTATTCACTTGTAAAAACAAGATATTGGGTCAAACTTTTCATAAATAATTTCAGTTAATCTTGACTTCCGCCATGGCTGAAAGGTGAGAACAGGCAAGAGAAAGATTCAATAGAACTTTAATTCTGTTAGAGAAGCTTAAGATGCAAAGTACGATTCCAGTACATTTGACTGAAAATTAACTTCTTAATGTAAGATAGTGAATGCAATTTTCATGTTAGTAATAAGAGAATAGACTTTCTTCTCCTTTCCCCTACTTCCATCATATACATATGTATAGGAGCCCAAACCTGAAAAAAACAACTGCCTGGATCTAAGGCTGTGGCATTCTGCAGTGGACTGGAATAAGTAAAGTTGTGCTCAAAGGAGGCTTCAGAAATTGTTGTTCGAGTTTTGTAGATGATACAATAGGCAATGTGACAGTGAAGCTGGATAATAAACAGGGGAATCTACAGTCTCTTGAATAAATGAGGTCCACGCAAGCTACCTGTGATATTGTGGGATGAAACTGTAGAGCAAGAACAATCACAGAATAGCACTTCAAAATATGCAGCATCAAGTAAATAGTTGTCTTGCTTATGAACACTGATAGAGTAAGTTTACTGTCTGAGTAGAGTGAATTATTAGCAAGCAAGAGACTGTAACTGATAACAGATTGTTAGAAGAGAAAGTATTAAAGAAAGTCACTGACTGTTCATAGGGGAGAGAACTTGGTTTGGGTTATTTTTGGATTTGGCTTTCAACACCAAGACCCCATTGTATGCTGTCTGGTTATGTCTAGTTACTTTGCACAGTGTTACGCTTATGTGTCACAAGTAAGAAATAATTAAGAAACCTCTATGATGAATCTGATGAATCTAGCATCAAGTTGAGCTTTGTAGATAACTGAGTAGTTTCAACTCCTTGTAAGACTGGAAAAAGTGCAGAGCTGACTGTGGCCACTGGGAGAGGCAAGGCAGACTCTGAAAAAGTAGTGATGAATTCCAGCCCCTGGGCTGTGGAAGGTACATAATGAGACAGAGCAGCCAATAAGTGACATGTGCCCAGGGCAGCCATATTGTAGTGGCCAACTCTAAGAGACAGTAGAACATTCTTAGTCTGCTGCAGCCCAGGAAAGGGCTCTTTCCCTTCTTTGGTCACTGCAGTGATGGACAAAGTCATTCTGCCCTGCAGAAGATGATGTTGGAAGAGCTCAACATTCCTTTATTTCCCTTTTCAAATCTTTTATTAGATTTTTGGAAAAGCAAGGTGCATGGCAGTAATGGGCAAGAGCATACATGACTTTCTCTTCATGATGTAAGGGGAGGATGCTCTAACTAGGTGAGCCTGGCAGTAGACAACATGCTGGAGAGAGCAGAGTGAAGGGACTGAATGGTTTCTTCCAGAACCTATGCAAGACTGTTGGAACTGATTAAAACTGGAGTGAGCAAACTTTACTAGATTCACTTTGGGGCAATGATTGACTCTACTTCAAAGCCTATGCCAGCTTTGAAAGCAAAGCACTTGGTCTGCACAGCACTGTACCTGTACTAACACTGAACCCAAGCAAGCCCTACACGGAGCCAAATCCTAAGTCTGCAGCAGGGCGTATGTGCAATAGGTGGCACTGTTAGTTTGCAACTCAAGTGGGAGTTGCTGGTAGCTGCTGTCCAAAAATAAATAAATTTGTGTGCTGGGCTGAATAGCAAGTGAAAACTGCCACTGCCGTTCAGGGGATTGATTGACAACTATGTTTAGCTTCTTGTGAATGTTAGGTGACACATGTAGAAGCAAGCATCAAGTGATTATCTGAACTACGGATTCTGTGAACTCAATTCTATCTTCAAATACACCTATGATTCCCAAAACTCGGCGTGTGATATAGTGCAGAATTTCAGGTTTGCCTTTTTGACTTTTAAGTTCAAATCTAGCAAATGTTCACAGTTTATTCTTTCTCCTTGGTGTTTTCTTCTGTGACTTTAATGTCTTCTTATACCCCCTGTCCTTTCCTCCAGAAAGATCACATTTTT